ATTCCTATACATTGATTACCTTTACTTTAATGAAAAACCACCTACATGGTCTTTACTTTTATGATTTCATTCCCGGGCTGGTGAAACATTGACACAGTAAAGCATCAGGCCAAGTCTTCTTTCTACCTACTGGCCAATCAGTTGACAAGCAGTGACTAGACGTTTCAGCCTGTTTTGTTGAGGCTAAAGGATTGAACTAGTGCTTCAGCCAGCATGAAACCAGGCAGGAGTCCATGCTGGTGTTGGCTTAGATTAGCAGGGCCTTTGATGGAGGGGCATGTATGTGTTTGGGTTTGCTGTGCCAGGCAGGGGAGTAGTGGAATTTGTCTGAGTTGAGCTCACACATTGAAGTTATTGAGCGACTTACATGTAAGGCCATGACCTGGACTCCCAGCCGAGAGGCCCACGTGGCGGGGCTTGAGCTGGGGGAGCCGAGGACAGCTTACATCTGCTCATCTGCTTACGTAACCCTGCCTCCCAGCTTCCAGAGCCAAGAAAACACACAAGCCAGCCCAGCGGGGCTGAGAGCCTGTGGTAGCACACACCATGTGCCGCACAGCAAGGGTGCCTTGGCTCGGCCTGAGGACTGTCATGAAGCCCTCAGCCCTCTGCCTCCTCCCAGAGCCTCTCTCTGCAGCTCCAGGGAATGGCTCTGAGACCTGGTAGCAGGTCTGCATGATTCTGAACAGAGCTAGTCGTTGCCCTCCTGCAGTCTGAGCTCTCTGGAGTTTCTCACTGGAATAGAGCCACGTGTGTAGCAGAGCATGGCCCCTGCAATGTGACAGGAGGTATGCAGGGCACTCAGGAGGCATCTTGGCTGGCACTCCACCCAATTAGTCATTTAACTCCAGGTCTGGGGCTGGTGTCTGCTGTCCAATCTCAGAGGTGTGAGCTGCAAGATCCTCAGAGTTGTGGAGGTTTCAGAGAGAGAAGGTGGAGAAAAAATTGCCAGATTGGGCAAGAAGGGCAGGATTGGCGGTCAAGGTATCTCAATGTGTTGGAAGCACGATGGGAGGTTGTACAAGGGGCAGAGAGTACAGAAGCGAACAGAAGAGTGAGAAGAGGCTGTTCAGTGAGAAAGCTCTGCGCAGAGCCACTAGAGGAGCAAGCTCCTTGGCCATCCTTAAGCCAGGGTAATTTTCATTTAGGTTCTGCCACACACTCAATGGGGAGCTTCTGGAAGGCAGGATCTGTCTAATCCATCCTCCCTCCCTGCCTCAACCCACTCCTCCTGGGGCTGGCACACAGTAGGTACCCAGAAAGTATCAAGGGAAACAAATAGAAAGTGGTCTTGACACGTATCACAGGGCGAATTTGCATTTAACAAACATTTCAGAATAATGACTCTCCATCACCTTCTGTGGATTGTCAGCATGCTGTGGACACACCCTGCATGGGAGGGAGTGGGTGTGAGCATGTGTATATGTGAGGGTGAGAGAGTGTTAGTGTGTGTGTTGGGGTTGGGGAAGAGGAGGGGGAATAGAAGATGGACCACTTGGGTATCAGCTTCTGCCTTAGGGAGACAGTGGTGTCAGTTGCTGAGGGAATCCTGAGGAGAGGCAGGTCTGGCTGCAGGTGGTGATGGTGGTTGGGGTTGCATGAGAGTCCATTTGGGGCAGGTTGAGTTTAAGGTGTCCATGGCATATGGCTAGTCATGTCCTATTGGCTGTGAGGTCAGGAGAGAGCCATGGGATGGGACGTTTTAGAACCGTCATGTGCTTAAATGAAAGACCTGGGTGAGAGTAAGAAGGAAGAATGTTTAGGGAGAGTGAGAGAAGGGGGCAAAGATGGACATCCAGGAAAAAGGCTGAGAAAGCCTAGGAAGCAAGGTAAGAGATGTAGGTGAGTGTGACACATGGTGATCAAGGCTTCTTTCTACCTCTCCTGTGCAGGACACTCACTTCTCCTGTCTGCTTGGACATTCATGCTGAGGGCAGGGAAGGTGAGAGCAAGGATTTGTCTAAGATCTTGCTTTGGATCCCTGTGCTCCTCCTGGTTTACCAAGTGTCACTGGGTGTGTCAGGGCGTTCTGAGACCTTAGAGCTCAACCAGTCCAATCCCTGCAGTTTACAAGTGAGGAAACCAGTGCCTTGAGAGTGTCTGTACTCTCCACTCAGGATGCCAGAGATCATCTGGAAAGTCACTGGTGGAGCTGGGCCAGGGCCCAGGCATCTCTTCTCTTGAGCAGGGCTCTTGACTTCAGGACCACCTTTCTGAAACCCATGATGGGGCAATACTAGGACACTTTCCAACCTGCAGGTGTCTGTCCCACGGAAGTGAGCCAGGCCACGTGTGAATTCCTGTTTTCTGGGTGGGTTTCAGAAGTTGTGAGTAAGTTGGCAGGATGACAGCCCAGGTGCTTCTTGGGTTCCCCAAAATGGGGTTATGTTTAGCAGCATCCTCAGAACCAAAGGTGGAGTGGGGGCTGCAGATGTTGTGGGGGCCTCTGAAGTGAAAGAGCACAGTGACAGATCTTTTCTTCGTGTTTTTCACAAGTTCACTGTGCAGCAGGGTCCCCCAGGCGGCTTTGCCTAGGGTTGGGAGTTGGGCAGCCCAGGCCTAGCCAACGTTGTGGGGAAAGGTATAAATGGCAGCAATCCCTGAGGGCCCTCTTTGCCTGAAGGCCCTAAGGCTTGACATCAGAGATGCCCATCAGGTGGCCCATCAGAGCCCTACTGCCCAGCTTGCCCAGTGAGAATCATCTGGGCTCCTTGTTAGGGTAGTCATTTAGGTCCTTCCCAAAATCCGCAGACTCTCTAAGGAAAGGGCCAAGATTCTGTATTTGTAGTGAATTTCTCAAGCAATTCTGGTGTTAGGTTTTGGAAAAACTTGTTCAGGGTGACCACTGACTGAGTCCTGGTCTTCTCTGAAGAGCACAGAGTCTGCTCACTTCAGGGCACCTTGGGAGGTAGGAGCTGGCTCAGCAGCCAGTCTTAAAAGGGACTGAGCTTCAAGGCCTCTATCCCTCCAGGAGGGAGGTGCGTGGCCAGGGAGGGAGCAGGGCTTCTGGATATCTGAGAATCTTCTTCCCTGCCCCCGAGGGTCTGCTGCCTGAGCTCTGTGATAGTGCAGAGAGCAAAAGGACCAAGCTTGACTGAGGCCTGTCTCTCAGGGCAAAAGTTTGCTGGTTAGAGGAGAATGGGAAGGGCATTTCTGGCAAAGAGAAAGTGTGGACAGACATGGCTTAAGGGATGGGGAGGGAGATGAACAGAGCTGAGATTGAAGGGCCTATTGCCCAGCTATGGGCCTTGGCCTTCCCCGTACAGGGCCACATAGCCTTGAAACTATTGGAGGTTTTAATGGGAAAGTAATATGTTCAGGGCTGTGTCTCAGAAGAAAACAAACTCGTGGGAACAGGTCCTGTGATGGTGGACCTGGGTCAGCTACTGAGGGAGGGAATGTGTGAGATGTGCACTGGGGAAACGTATGGAAGAGGCAGCTATCTGGTGAGAGGAACCAGACCCACAGGTTTTTTTCTCAGGCTCTTAATTCAGAAGGGTGAGTGATTCCGGGACTAGGGAGTGCTTGGAGAACCACGCATTATTGATAAACAGGACAGGCTGAGGCCTATTCACTGGCCTTGGGTGGGTTCTCATCAGCACGTTTCAGGTTTTGATCTGCACTTGTGGTTAGTGTTCTCACCTGTTCTCTAGGTTCCTTCCTTTGTTCCTGTGGCTTGTTTGCTTCACAGGTGAAGCTGGTTACACTAGAGTAACAGTTCCCAAAGTGTGTTCCCTGGCAAAATGGTTCTGTAGCGAAGTACGTTTGGGAAATGGTGGGTTAAATAAAACGAAAGGGTTTTTCTTGGCCGCGCAACTTCTCAGAGCCTTTGGTGTGTCTTGTGACTTTGCAGAAGCAGGATTTAATATGCAGCGTCCCCATTCTTAATCTGACCACAGGCGATGTTTTTCCATTAAGCATCTTGCTGTGTCTAATGTTTTCTGGAACCCATTTTGAGGAAGTCTGGTCTGCAGAGAATCTTGAACCCAGGCTCCCCATACTTTCTGCAGATCCTTGATTCCCTATGTTGCCTGAACTGTACCATACATACCGTATACCCCGTATATGACCTTTTCCTTGTCCCTCTTCCTACCTACCATTACCTCACAATCCACAATCTGCACCTCATCCATTTTTCTTCTGAGCCAAGCACTCTCTTACTAGCTTACTTCCCTCATCTGCATCCATATTCTTCTAGGCCAGAAACTTGGGAGTCATCCCTGCTGTTTTGTGACTTCTTCCTCTTTGTTACTTTATCCCCTCTGTTACTAAGCATTCTTCTGTGCTCTTTCCAGCTATGTCTTTTCTTTTCCCTCAGTTTCCTTTGGGGTCTCTTTGCCTTCATCCCTCCCAGCGCTTGATTCACCTTCCGTTGGGTCCCTTCCTGAGACGTGATCATTCATGCCACTCCTGCTACCTTTCACTTTGAAGCTAACTCCCTCTGCACCTACGTCCTGAACATGCATGTGCACACACGTGCACGCATGCACACACACACACACACACACACACACACACACACACACACCCTTTGCCAGTTAGGCTAGAATCAGAGAGCTGGTGGTGTCAGCCATTTGTCCAAGGCTACGCAGCTGGGAGGTAGCAGAGCTAAGTCTCAACCTCGGGAGTTTTGAGAAACTGCTTTCTCATCCATAATCACTGATTTCTACAACAGTCTATCAAATTTCTACAAAATCTGAGTAGAAATTATTTCCATTTTACAGTGGAGTCTGAGCATGGAGGGTCCTGGGCAGACAAGTGCTTCATAGAGTGATCAACCATCTGGGTTTGCCCCAAACTGAAGGGGGTTTCCGGGGATGGTTGGTCGCCCTAGTGCTGGATGTGGTGCCTGATCTGGGCAGGAGGGCCCTCTCCATGGCCATGCTGCCTCTCAGAAGGAGATGTCTCCTTTGCAGGTACAGCCTGGCCATCTGATGCAGCCTGTGGAGCGGTGGTGAGTCCTGTGGGCTGCTAACTTCTCCCTCCCTCCACCTCTCTAGTGGGCCCCATGCTGATCGAGTTTAACATGCCTGTGGACCTGGAGCTTGTGGCCAAGCAGAACCCAAATGTGAAGATGGGCGGCCGCTACACCCCCAAGGACTGCATCTCTCCTCACAAGGTGGCCATTATCATTCCATTTCGCAACCGGCAGGAGCATCTCAAGTACTGGCTGTATTACTTGCACCCAGTCCTGCAGCGCCAGCAGCTAAACTATGGCATCTATGTTATCAACCAGGTGAGGCCTGGGAAGGTGGAATGAGAGAGGATGTGTATGTGTGCAGATGTGTGTATAATGAGGGCAGTGGAAGGGGGGTGATTTCACAGACACCTGGCACTTAGCGTGAGGAGCCAGCCCCCTAATCACCACCAGTGCAGATGAGCTAAACACCAAACAGTGTGCTTGCCTATTGCTGTCAACTCTTTTAGCCAGGAAAAACTCTGGAGTGTTTTCGTTGGTTTGTTTTGTTTTTGTTTTTTGGAAGTAGCCTTCCAGCAAAATTGGGAAAAAAGACAACCCTAATTTCCAAAGTAAACACTGATTATTTCCTGGCTTTGTGTAGCTGTATATTTTCTTTTTAAAAATAAAACCACTATTTAGATGTCAGACTTTTAGGGAACTTCAAAGTTTATCCAGTCAGTCAGACTGTGTCTCCTGTGGCACCTGGAGACAGTGCCCTCAGTTCAGGCTGCATGCCTACATGCAAGCCCCTGGTGAAATATCTGGGGAAGTCTGATTTGTGGGCCATCTGAGAGTCATGTGCACTGGGCTGAGTCTGAGAAAAGGTTTCTTACTGCTCTTCTGATCCATGTATGTTGGCCTTTAGCCCTGCTTAGGAAAACAATGCTAAGGATGGGTCAGCTTTCATTGTTACCATGGCATGGAGAATCAGATTGATCCAAGAGGCATCTTTATTGAAATAATTTTTTTAGTCCATTTGAGGTGCATTATTTTCCCAAGAGTATAACTTTGATATTTCAAGATTATCCCTAACACTTAAATTTATATCTTTAGACTGAAACCTCCTCGGTGCTGTGACACATCTAACTTATCTAGGCACCAAATTTCACTGAAATTCATTTGAAGAATCTGAGTGCCCATTTCTACAAGGCCCAATGTCCACTGCACTTCAAGATAAACTCTGCTTTAGGTAGGAGGATTGTTGGCAGTTTATGGCTTCCATTGAAGTCAAGGGACTCTGTGCATCTTCCCTGGAACCCCAGGGGAAGCACTTAAGGACTGCTGTGGCATTGTGCTTGCATCACTTGCTGCAGGAGATTCTGAAGACGTATAAGGTCTCAGTCCTGTCCTGTCCCAAAGCCTCCAACCCACTTCTGGCAAGTGGTACCCTCCCAGAGATCAATTTGTTAACAGACCCAAATAACCTGTGATTGGATGGTGGCTGCCAAATGCTTTGGAAACTCACAGGAAGGAGAGAGAGCAATGGCCTGGAAGAATCAGGATATAAACTATGTTCCAAAGTCTGCAGGGAGATGGGTGTCTCAGCTGGGGCCAGTGATCAGGGACCTCAAGGCAGAAAGGACCCTCACATGTTCCTGGAAATTGAGACACTCACTGGGGTAGGAAAGCACCAGAAGCTCTGGGGCCGGGTGTCAGAGTGAAGCCTGTAAGGCAAGGGAGAGCAGAACAAGCCCTGTTACAAGGAAACTGAAGCAGGAGAGGAGCAGGTGGTGGGCAAAACCGTTGAAACTGTTTGAATTCTTTGGCCATGTGAGGTACAGACCAGGGCCCTGTGAGCACCTGCAAGCAAGACAGCTACGCAGTTGTGGGTCACCTTGGAAGAATATTGGAGAATGTAAGAACAGGTAAATGTCCTGCTAAGTACAGGTCACTTTAACCCAGCAAGTATTCGTTTAAGGAAAGCCCTATGATTGAGAAACATTTGTCTGATGCCAGTGAGCACATACCGATGACGGCAAGATTCAGGATCCTGTTATTAAAGCAGTGGTAACAAGCACCTGGAAGAGGTGGCCACCATCACCAGGAGCCAGCAGGGATGACTAAGAACAAGCCGTGCCAGCTGCATCTCGTTTCTGTCTTGACAGTTACTGTGCCAGTAGATGAGGGATGCACTGTAGATACAATTCTGTCAGCTCTTACTCAGCAAGGCATCTGACGGCATCCCACAAATCTGCCTGAGTAGAAGACAGACAGCCATGGTCTGGATGCCATGTAGGTAGATTAAAATATATGCAGTATGTACTTTGGGGCTGGATGCAGTGGCTCACACCTGTAATCCAAGCACTTTGGGAGGGCAAGGTGGGCGAATCACTTGAAGTCAGGAGTTCGATACTAGCCTGATCAACATGGTGAAACCCCATTTCTACTAAAAATACAAAAATTAGCTGGGCATAGTGACAGGCACCTGTAGTCCCAGCTACTCGGGAGGCTAAGGCAGGAGAATTGCTTGAACCCAGGAGGCAGAGGTTGCAGTGAGCTGAGTTCGTGCCACTGCACTGCAGCCTGGACAACAAAGTGAGACTTCGTCTCAAAATAAAATAGAATAAAATCTTGGGTAAAGAGGGTAAAAGAGAGTTAGTGATGATGCTGAATTTTTGAACTGAGGTAGCTGTTTTCAAGGAAGTCTGGAGGGTGGGATGCTATATCTAGATATGTTGCAGTTTAGGTGAATGTGAGACTTCCCTGTTTTGAAGTCCAAACAAATATTGGACCAGTAAAATCTAGCCATCAGCTTAAATTCCTGATACAATTTATATACTACCCAGGCTCAGCATAGCAGATTTCTGAATGTCCTCTACCAGCTACATGTTCCTGCCCACCTCAATCCAAGTAGGCAGAACAGCTAACCAAGCCAGCTCAGACCGGTGGCACAGCTGTGCTGGCTAACACTGGGCACTGCCTGGGAGAGTGCTCCTCCCAAATACGCTTGAGGAATGCTGGGTTGAACCATGTCAAGCAGGTCTCGTTCCTGCAGAGCGTTTGGTACCCCGGTGTATACTGTAACCCCAGAAGTGTTTCCTGAGCTTGCCTGACTGGGGAACTTTTCCAAGAACCGTCTCAAGTGATGAGTGTTTTGTGAGTCACACTCTGGGGCAAGCTGGCCTGAGTTAACATCTCCTCCCAACTGCCTCCCTGCTTTCTCTGGAACACTGGGAACTGCCCATCCTCCCTCCCTCCCTCCCTCCTCTTCCCACTTCATAACTTAGCATCAGGAATATTTTAGTTTTGGTTTTTCAAACATATGTAATTCCTTTTTTCTTATCTTGTCAGTATCATCTCTTTTTTTCTTTTTCTTATACTTTTTTTTCTCTTCATCCTTTCCTTCTCCTCTAAGGGTTAACTTTCTGCCTTAAGAGAATCTTTACCTCTTTTTCTCCCACTTTCCCAGCTACTCTCTTATCTTGTGTCTCACCCTAATTGATCATTTTGGGAAAATAATGGTCAGAGTCCAGATAACTAAGTCAAGAAAGGCTTAAAGTCTGCTCTGCCTTTCCAGTAAAGAATATTACCTAATAAATAATAAAACGGTAATGGGAAACCTGAACCCTGAAAAAAAGAGGTGGAAGGAGAAGCATTTGGAGCACATCCTGTCTACAAATTAGGAACTTCCTATGTTATCTGTTTTATGGTTATATTCTAGAAGAAGAAGAAGAAAGGGATTTTGTAGCACCTGGTTTTGACCTTTGTGTACTGTTTGTTGAGCAAATAAACCTTATGGGCTGTTAGCCCTCTTTATAGCCTCTCAGGGGCTCCCTGGTCCAGACACCCTGCTATCATTTTGACTGTTCACACACACACACACACACACACACACACACACACACACACACACACACACACACATTTAAGATTAGACAGAAAGAATGCTCAAAATAAGAGTGGCTTCTGAGACATTTGGTCCAGGGCTTCCCACACAGGCTTTTTAGTATCAAATTTCTTTCTGCCCCATTGAAATGCTGCACACCCTCCACTACAGTAGGTCACAAGAGTTTCATTCTACTTGAAGTAGGGGCCATATCCCATCTCCACCTCCTTAGCTTCCCATTCAGTCTTTTCTAGGATTTACCCAGACCCCTGAGGCTAGACAATGTGGAAGCTTCTGTTCCATGTCACAGGTGAGGAAACAGGTTTAGAGAGGGACAGGCTCCAAAAGCCACATAGACAACAGCAGGGCTACAGCTCAAACCCCAGCGCCTGACTCCAGGTTTAGTGCCTTCTCAAGCCATCAGTGACACTCCTCGCGACCAGGGTGCCCCTAGTGTTGCTCACAGCCTGGTATCCAGGGCTGAGAGTGTGCTGTGTGCTCAGACTGCTTAGGTTCAGTCCTGGCACTGCCACTTTCCAGTCACTGACCTCAGGCAGGCTACTTAAGCTCTGCAGGCCTCCATTTCCTCCTTGGTGGGGAGGGCTGTGAGGCATCTGGCACATGGTAAACCCTCAGTCAATATCAGCCGTTACTGGATATCCATTCCTGCCTCTGCACTCTCCATTAGTTCTGTCTGTTTTCTCTGCCTGCTTCTGTGGTGGTGAATTCTTCATGGCTCCCACTCGGCCCACATCAGGACCCTTCCTCCTATGGTCTGGACTCCTTGGGGTCAGAGGATAATGGATAATGGAATAACCCAGGTGGCAGAATCTCAGAGGACTCTGAGGCCTTGCTGGGCCTATAGCCTCTTGGGCTGTGTGTCAAGCTCCACACACAGGAGTGAACTTTCACAGATTTTTATGGCTCATACTTATATCTGTAGTAAGCTGTTAAGCACTCCCATTTGGCTTGGGCCTCTGTAATCACCATAATAATTTATATCTCAAGGATATTAAAGCAATGAATGGAGAGGGGCTTTCTAATAGAGACAGAGAAGAGTAAGAGTTGCTCTTTGTCCTCAAGGTCTCTCCCTCCACACCCACACCTTAGCTCACCAGCATGAGAGGATCCTCTTTGGCTCCTTGCACTCTACAACGTGGATGTCAAGATATAGCATTCTGACGTCAATGGCAGCAAGAAAAGAGGAAGAAGATATCGTAGCAAACAGGGATGCATGCTGCATTTCCTCATACTCAAATCCGGAAAGGAGACTGTAAAGCCACTCTAGGTGAAGGGAGGGCAGGTTGTCACCTGGTAGCACTAGCCATAAATTAAGGAATACAGGATATCTGTGGGATTACCGATCACAAAAATTACAAAATGAGTGAGGAATGCAGGCACAGCTGGCCAGGTGGGTTTGTCATCACCATGGCAGCCCTTTGTCCCACAGCCAGTACGTAGGACCGGTCTCTCCAGTTCCAATTGCATATCTTCTGGTACCTTTGTTCTTCTGTCTCAGCTGCCCAAGATTTTCCTGGTTGTGACCATGTTAATTCCTCTTTTTAAACCTGTTAGCATTTCCTGACTGCCCACAGACAAGGGTCTAAATGGTTGGAAGGCCCAAGCTTAGTATCCAAGACCCTGACCTACCTCTAGCCACTTCCTCCTCCTCCCTCCATCACTGGATTCCCCATCTCCACCCAGACACCCCTGTCCTCCCCTCCTTGTGCCTTTGCTTTTGCTGTCTCCTCTGTTCGTAATGTGTCTCTGGCCATCTTTTTTTTTTTTTTTGAGACGGAGTTTTGCTCTTTTTACCCAGGCTGGAGTGCAATGGCTTGATCTCGGCTCACCGCAACCTCCGCCTCCTGGGTTTAGGCAGTCACCTGCCTCAGCCTCCTGAGTAGCTGGGATTACAGGCACGTGCCACCGTGCCCAGCTAATTTGCCTCCCTTCTTTCTACCTGACCACACAACTGGTGCGTAGTCAGTATAGATGCAGTAAGTGAAGCATGGGGCTTCTCCCCAGGTCTTGCCCCTTTGTTTATACCTAGTCTCAGGACCCCTTGCTCCTGGTCTTCTGCCTAGATCTGTGCCTCTTGGAAGTGAAGCCTCCATTCCCAGTGAGGCCAGGTTATGACGCTTGGGAACTTGCAGGGCCCCTCCCCTGGGCCTCTCCCCAAAGCTTCCGGCTCATTGCTGAACAGAGCATAGGCTGTCTGTGACATGGTCCTTGGGGTGACCTCCTTTATCAGGAAATATGCAGAAAACCTATAAATATCTTAGCCTTATGATTGTTAATGATCTCTGGACTTAGCACCTTTATTATGGTCTCACTTTGAATTTTGACCAGTGAGGCAAATTGTCTTCTGATTGTTCCTGTGGAGGGAAGGCTCCAAAGGTAAGCACATGGTAGCCACGTGATGGCTGGGAAGCAGAGCTGGGGTTTGGACAGAGGTGACCTAGAGCCTGAGGAATGGGTCACCCTGCCAGAGTTATTCCCAGAATGCTCCACATATACTTGCCAACACTGTGAGTCTCACTGGGTCCTGTGAGGAGGCACAGCAGCTTTTGAGGACAGCCCCAGAGCCCCCCGGGAGGCTTGCCTCACTGTTAGGCCAGTCCCTGAACCCTGCCTCAAAGGAGATGGAGGGAGAGCACAGACAGCTGCCCTTAGGACTCTGTCTGGCTTTGAAGTTTTCTCCTGTTTTCTTTTCATCTGTGTACTATTTTAGGATGATGGGGTGATAGTTCCAGGCTGGTTGAGGATGGATTTGGGGACAGTCCTTTGTACCCTCAGTGAGCAAGAGCATCTGTTACCCTACCTCAGCAGTTGTCTCTGTCACTGGTCCAAGCAGCTGGTTCCTATACAAGATCAAGATCAACCGGGAAGAAACAGACTCCTGGGTCTGTCCCATTAGCAAGGACAGCTGCCTGGGCTTATGGCCCTATTGGTTTGGTTTCTATCTTGGTCATCTCTACCCTCCCCCCATCCCTGCCTTCCATTTTCTCCCTGAGCTGTCAGTGCACAGATTGATGTGTATGGGAACAGGGCTTGGGAGGGGTGGGGTGGTCCTGTCCTGCATCCTCCCTTCCTTTGGGCACTTGGACCCTTTGGAGCTTGCCAGAGGTGGGGAGTGGGAGTGGGAAGGCCAGGGAGAGTCTCTGCGCCATCACTGTTTGAGTGTTGCCCCTTTGCTATGTGCCCCACCTGGTCCATGTCTCTCTCTGTTCTCCTGGGGACTTGATTTGCTGGTAAATTGCTTCAATGGATGTTGTTCTGGGAAATGCCATTTATTTTCTGCTCACCGGTGACTCTGTGATAGGGAAAGACAGCTTACTATGAATTTGCCTTTGCATTGGAACAGTAGTCCTCAGAATGGGCCTCTTTTCCCTTGCAGCTTTGATGTTTGCCTCTCTTCCTCACCTCTCTCCCTTGCATCCACCCTTTTTTCTTTTTCTTTTTTGTTTTCCTTCTAGCAGGGGCCTTTTGCCTTTACTTGTTAATCCTGTTTGTAGCAAAGCAAGTGGAAGGAGAAGTTACTCTCTGATCTGCTTCTTATTCTCCACCTACCTTCTCTTCTGTACTCTCCACCTCCTAGAAAGAGAGGAATGCTGACCTAACTGCTGCTGCCACTGCTGCTGCCACCACCGCTGCCACCACCTCCCTGGTAATGTTCACATGCCCTCAAATCAACCCAGAGCCAGGGCCCTGCTGGTCAGGGGGAGGCTGTGTACATAATCTCATGAGTGTGCCATCCTCAGGCCCTGGGGTCTCCCAGGCAAGGCCAGGGCCTCTGTGGGCTCTCTCAGAAATGCCGAAATTGCTGGAAGCCAGCCCATTGTACAGGGTCTGAGAGTTTTGCTTATTTTAAATTAAACCACAGTTGAGCTCATGCTGTATGTGTATAAACTTTTGTACCCTGCTTTTTCCTTAAATTCTTTATCATCGGCATCTTCCCATGTTATTTCATGATCATCATCATCACTTCATGTGCCTTCATAGTAGTTGATCATAGAATTTCATCATAATTAACTTGTCTTTTCTCTCTTAGAAGTCCTTTAGATAATGTCCAATTTTCCATGAGCATAAATAATACCATAATGAGCATCTTGCAGACTGAAGTTTATTCTGTGTTGGTTTGTTCCACATTTAGGATCATTTCCTCCCCAGGCTAGAATTCCAGATGTGGGATTATGCATTCAGAAATGATTTACACATTTTTATAGTTCTTAATATAGATGGCCAAATTGCTTTCTGAAAGAGAAGCTTTACTTTCCTCAAGTATTTTTCTCCAAATTGTATCTCAAACATCCTGAACGTGCTTAGCACCACTGTCTTGATATATCTGCAGAAAGCCATGTCTTCACTTCTCAGTGCGCCAGGCCCTGGGAGAGGCAGGCATCCTGCGCTGGCTCCTTGGAGTTGGGTTTAAAACTGTCTCCTCTGTGCTCACGTCACCCAGAAGCCCTGCTGGGCTGTTTTAGGAGCTTAGTTCTCTCTGAAGGCAACTTTATAGACTCTGTCCAGTCTGTGTTCCTGTGTGGCAGGGGTCAAGGTTGTGCTCACTCTTGAGAGTGGTGACTCGGGTTGGCTGAAAACCACTCCTTTAGCCTGGTCCCTAACCCTTGAAGGTCCATTTCTCTCACTCACTGGGGTGAAACGTTTAAATCTCAGATCCAAGTTTTGTTGAGAGCTCTGAGTTACCATATTGTTATGGTTAACAACTAGATCCCAGCAGAGCATGGTGGTGTGTGCTGGCAGTCCCAGGTTCTCAAGAGGCTGAGGTGAGAAGATTGCTGGAGCCCAGGAGCTCCAGGCCAGCCTGGGCAACATAGTGAGACCCTGTCTCCCTACCCGAAAACCCAACAACAACAGAAGCAAAACTAGAGCCCAACTGCTGTGAACTCATGGGTGAGTAGATATTATTAGCTCTCCACAAACTCAGCATTTGTATAATCCCAGGCTCTTTCCAGTAATTCTCTGGGATCACCTCCTAGCCTGTCCACTGTTCCAGGATCCATACTTAGGCCTGTAGGAGTGCCCAGTCAGAGCTTCTGCTGCCGCCAATCTGTTACTATTTCATGCAACCCACTCAGCCTAGTTCCTTCCTCTTACTGTCTTAGTGGGCACAGAAAAGCATACAGAGGATGTTTCAGCAAACATTGCCACTGGCTGTGAACCTGCCCCCGGATATGTGGTGTTGAGAGCTTAGTGGTAGCTTCAGGTATAGTGGGGAGGGGTGTAGCTCTGTGATGAGCCAGGGCATGTATATGGGAGCAGCAGTGTCTCTCTCATCATGTAGAAATTCTGACTCATTGAGAGTCTTGGCTTTCGGTTGATAGTTTTAACCACATTGCTGCTGTGTCTTTTGGTACAGGAGAGGCTGGGTGCAGTTGGTCCCAAGCCATTATGGACAAGGGATGTGTCTGCTGATGTACACACATGGACCTGACATCGAAGGAAGGCAGGGTGGTTGGACAGAACAGTTCTCTAGAATCAGTTGGGACTTGGACAAGAGGGGCCTGTTGCTTTCTATAGTTGGTCATCTGTCCCGTGTTGCAGTCAGGGGAAGGCCACTCTTGCCTTCCTAAACCACAGTTAGGCTTTTCCTCGGAATTAGGCCAGACTCTGGGCACCTGTCCTGAACCTCTCACCCCACTCCTACAAAGACTGCTTGCAAATGTAGTGCACATGCGCAGGGAGAAGGGGAGGTATGAAAGGGGAAGTGGAGCCCCTGCCGTAAGCCCTTGGGGGAGGCACTGTCTGCTTACTCACCGCTGTTGCCTCAGAGGAATCATACAATGGCTCCCTAACCGGTCTCCTTGCCTTCAATTGGATTGGGGCACAAATCCCTCCTTGACATACAAACCATGGTTTAAGGCTCCCTGTGACCTAAATAAGATAAAGCTTAAGTGTCTTAGCAAGCACCTAACCCTCCTCCCCGGTCTCTGTGATTTGGCCCATCTCTGCCTTCATGTCTCATTCTGGCTTCACTCATTTGGAATGTCTTGTAGTTCCTTGACTGTTCTCTTTTCCTCACAGCCTTTACAGGTGCTCTCACCATGCGTGCTTGTCTGCTCCTACAGTTGCCTTCTCTCCCACCAGCAACTCCAGAGTCGATGTCTGGTTGATTCTGTCTGCTGTCTCCAGTACCCTTCCTGCAGCAGTCTCTGCTCATTTGTTTGGAGATTTTATATGTTTTCTGGCCTTTTTTTTAGAGGGCCCATCTTCTCCCTCTAAAAGCAGCAGTTGCCTTAGAAGGAAGGGATAACTGTAACTCTTGTCTGCCAACATAAGATTAGGCCCACCCTTTATAAGCTGGGTCTTTCTTTTTTTTTTGAGACGGAGTGTCACTCTTGTTATTAAGGCTGGAGTGCAATGGCGCGATCTCGGCTCACCGCAACCTCCGCCTCCTGGGTTCAGGCAATTCTCCTGCCTCAGCCTCCTGAGTAGCTGGGATCACAGGCATGTGCCACCATGCCCTAAGCTGGGTCTTTCAAAGGGACGTCTGCACCCAACATGCTGGCTCCTCTTTACCACGACTTCCTATGCATTTCACAGGCCTCCAGAGGCCCTCCTGACTCTCTTCTGCTGTGAGAAACTCTGAACTTATAAGCCACAGGCTAAATCCCTTGAGCCTTAAGTGTTTTTCGTAATTCCCCTCTTCATCAGAGAAGCAGGATTTGGGAGGAATCTTGAAGCAAACAGAAGGCAGAGTCTCCAGGTAGGATATCTAAGAGACATTTGGAATGGTCAGACTGTTCAAGATGGGTGAGAAAGCCTCTTCCTGTCATAACAATAGTAGTCCACATTTGTTGCCAGGCGGTGTTGCTGAGGTCTTAGCCAGTGGGGCAGCCAAAGGCCCCATTTTTGAGATGGGATCTCACTGTGTTGCCCAGGCTGGAGTGTGGTGGTGATGTCACCGCTCACTGCAACCTCAACCTCCTTGGGTCTTAATTCTGAAAGACTCAGCTTTTAAAGGGTGGGCCTAATTTTATGTTGATAGACATTGCCTACCAACCTTGTCTCATTTAATACAATGCGCATACTATCCCCATGACACAAAAGAGGAAACGGGCCTGGAGGTGTGATGTGTACCCCAAGTCACACAGCTAATAAGTAAAGAAGCCAGCATTCCTGAGATTAAAAATGCATGTGTCTGTCACAGTGGTATATTTGGTGCTTGATCAACGGTTACTTGAGCGAATGGAGCAGCAGATGCACCAGATGAGTGTGCTCAGTGAGGAAGGCAGGAGTGAGGCTGGGTGTCTTCCCACCTCCTGCGAGTGGTGGGGCTTGGCAAGCTTGCCGAGGCCTGTCTTTCTTATCAAAGAAGGTGCGTGCCCCAGTGTTACAGCATTTCACCCAAAGAAGCCTAGAAAATGCTTGACTTTTCTGTCATTCTGGGGGAGGACACTTTCTTCCTCCACCGTTCTGCTGGCCTGGTGTTCCCAGGGCCCCCAGTAGGTGAGAGTACCTGCTAAAGTGCACCATGTGCTTCTGTCTCCCTGCATCCCACAGATGAGGCCTGGCTGGGAGGAGGGAGAGAGGGAGGAATATGTAGTTTAGGTTATTTTGGAAAACTGCCTCACCACCAGTTTTAAGTCTGTGCTAGACACTGGGGCATCTCACCATGCTGAAAGGGCCATGGCACGCCCCGCAGTGAAAGGGGGTAGAACCAGGTCTGCTTCTTGGGCTTCTCTAGGGTGCTGTTGCTCATGGGCCTTGGCTCTAGAGGTGTTCATTCATGGTTCCAAAATTCCAATTCCTGGGAAAGGAACAACGCTTAGTTCAGTCTCAGTCAGGCATCTGCTTAGATTAAATAGGCAAGGCCAGTAGGCCCAAGCCTATGGTAGAGACATGACCTCAAAAAGCCCTCTGCCCCAGTTATTGGGGAGTGTACAAGAGGAGGGAGCGTTTTCCTGAGCTGGGCAGCCAGCCCTGGGGGTCTAGTGCACAGGTGTAGAAAGGCTCAGTTGGTATACCTCCCTTTGCTGGTTGGAAAAGTGCTCAATGGGGCTGAATTATGTTTGACAGTGTAAGTCTAGGTTGGGGTGAGGGTTGTTACAAGATTGTCAAGATGATTAAATGAAATGTCATTTAAAAGACTTATCCAGGAGGCTGAGGCAGGAGAATTGCTTGAACCCAGAAGGCAGAGGTTGCAGTGAGCCGAGATCGTGCCATTGCACTCCAGTCTGGGTAACAATAGTGAAACTCCGTCTCATAATTAAATAAATAAATAAAGAAAACACTTATCCATGGCTTGTGTCCGGTATCCCCTCCCTGGTGAATAGTCACACTATATTATAATTCCAACAACTTCATAATTTTTATATCCAAATTCTAAAGTTTGTTTTTCTTTTTTTTTGTTGTTGTTGAGACAGAGTTTCACTCTGTTGCCCAGGCTGGAGTGCAATGGCACAATCTCCGCTCACTGCAACCTCCACCTCCTGGCTTCAAGCAATTCTGTTGCCTCAGCCTCTCAAGTAGCTGGGATTACAAGCTCCTGCCACCATGCTTGGCTAATTTTGTATTTTTAGTAGAGACAGGGTTTCACCGTGTTGGCCAGGCTGGTCTCGAACTCCTGACCTTGGGTGATCCACCCACCTCAGCCTCCCAAAATATTGAGATTACAGGCGTGAGCCAGAGTCTTGCTCTGTTGCCCAGGCTGGAGTATAATGGTATGATCTTGGCTTACTGCAACCTCCACCTTCCAGGTTCAAATGATTCTTCTACCTCAGCCTCCTGAGTAGCTGGGATTATAGGCACTCACCATCATGCCTGGCTGATTTTTGTAGAGATGGGGTTTCACCATATTTGCCAGGCTAGTCTTAAACTCCTGACCTCAGGTGATCTGCTCATCTCAGCTTCCCAAAGTGCTGGTGTTATAGGAGTGAGCCCCCATACCCGACAATTTTTTGTATTTTTAGTAAAGTTGGGGTTTCACCATGTTGGCCAGGCTGGTCTCAAACTCCTGACCTCAAGTGATTCACCCACCTCGGCCTCCCTAAGTGTTGGGATTATAGGGGTTAGCTACCATACCCAGCCTAAACTTTGAAATTCTTTGAATTTATGACACAGAATTAGCCGAACTCAGAATTACAAATCAACTCAGCCTGTGGGGTAGCCAAAGAAAACAGTGTGCCTTTGGGCTCCTTCTTCACTCACCATGTGGGGTTAGAAAACTTTGTCAGGGGTTTCAAAAAACGAGCTCTTGTGTGTAAAATGTTTCCTTGATTATCTTCTTGGTGCCTTTCTCTAAGTGGTTTGCTTCCCTGAGTTCCCCACCTGAGGCTGGATGGCTGTGGCGCACCTGTGCATTTTGTACGTACATATGCAGCCTTGTGGAGTACAGTTTACAGGCCTTGTTTTTTTTTTTCAGATGGGGGTCTCACTCTACCACCCAGGCTGGAGCGCAGTGGTGCTGTCATGGCTCACTGCAATCTCAACCTTCCTGGGATCAGGTGATCCTCTTACCTCAGCCTTTAGAGTAGCAGGGACTACAGATATGCACCACCATGCCTGGCTAATTTTTGTAATTTTTTGTAGAGACAGGGTCTCACCATGTTGCTCAGGCTGGTCTTGAGCTCCTGAACTCCAGTGATCTGCCCACCTTAGCCTCCCAAGTGCTAGGATTATAGGTGTGAGCCACCACGCCCAACCCAGGTCAACTTTTGAGGGCATGGAGAGAAAACTTTGAGTATGCCACTTTTGAGATTGTGTACCAATCCCAAGCCCCTGTGACGCACTTTTTCCCCAAAGTAGAGGGCTCTGATTGTTTTGGTCCCAAGAGAGATGGGAAAGAGCACTGAATGAGGACTCCAAAGTATTGGGCCTTAGCTTGTTTCCTCGTATTGGTGTTGTGAGAAATCTGGTTAGGATGACAGCAAGTGTGCATGCAGGAGGCTTTATGAACTGCTAAGAGTGAGGGGTGGCAATGTCAGTGCTGGGTCTGTCCTTACTTACCTGGGGCCATGGGAAGTGGTAAGACCAGATTCCTAACTCCACCCTGTAATGTGATTTTTGTGGTGACCCCTCATAGGGCTCTTTGGTTGAGCTTCCCAGAAGGAATTACCATCTGCCATTGTATGTTGAACGCCATTTTTTCATTCATTCATTCATTCATTCATTCAGCCAACCAGCAACTATTTATTAAGCTCTTATTGTGTGACAGGCAGTATTCAAGGAACTGGGTGAATAAAGAACAAAAAAATCTCAGCCTTCATTGAGCTTACATTCTTACTGAAAGTAAACAAATAAAACATGTAGTGTGGCCGGGTGCGTTGGCTCATGTCTGTAATCCCAGCACTTTGGGAGGCCGAGGTGGGTGGATCACTTGAGGTCAGGAGTTTGAAACCAGCCTGGCCAATGTGAAACCTCATCTCTACTAAAAAAAAAAAAATTGGGGCCGGGCATGGTGGCTCACGCCTGTAATCCAAGCACTTTGGAGGCCAAGGTGGGCAGATCGCCTGAGGTTGGGTGTTCAAGACCAGCCTGACCAACATGGTGAAACCCTGTCTTAAAAAAAAAAAAAAAATTAACCAGCATGGTAACGTATGCCTGTAATCCCAGCTACTTGAGAGGCTAAGGCAGGAGAAAAAAAATAGGCTGGGCATGGTGGCTCATGCCTGTAATCCCAGCTACACGGGAGGCTGAGGCAGGAGAATCACTGGAACCCGGGAGGCAGAGGTTGCAGTGAGCCAAGACCGTGCCATTGCAATCCAATCTGGGCAACAAGAGCGAAATTCCGTCTTAAAAAAATATATAAAAATACTCAGTGCCTTTGCACCAGCAGACTTGATGCCTTGGGACCTCATGGGTTGGCACCCTGAAGTAGGTGTCCCTCTTCTGTCTTGTGCACCTTGCTTTTATCCTGGTATGTATGACATGGCCTCCTACCATCCACTGTGAGTGCTGTGAGGATAGAGGTTGAGCTGGGTTTGCTGTGTTTCTCAGGTGCCTACCTTTGTGCTTGACAGGTAGAGGGAAGGCACACAATGTAGTCATCAAACCACAGTCAACCATATAAGGAAGGTAGAAGTGAAAAGGCTCATAGGTACCCAACCAATGTCACCAGTTTCTTAGAGTTTGTTTATAGTATGTATAAATAAATAATGCATGTGTTTAAATGCCTTCTTTCGCCTTTCCTTTTAGAGCTGCCTCTTTTTTCTTTTCTTTTTTTTTTTTTTTTTTTATGAATCGGAGTTTTGCTCTTGTTACCCAGGCTGGAGTGCAATGGCACGATCTCGGCTCGCCGCAACCTCTGCCTCCTGGGTTCAGGCAATTCTCCTGCCTCAGCCTCCTGAGTAGCTGGGATTACAGGCACGCACCACCATGCCCAGCTAATTTTTTGTATTTTTAGTAGAGACGGGGTTTCACCATGTTGACCAGGATGGTCTCGATCTCTTGACTCCGTGATCCACCCGCCTCGGCCTCCCAAAGTGCTGGGATTACAGGCGTGAGCCACTGCGCCGGGCCAGAGCTGCCTCTTTTAAGAGTACCTTACTATTGTATGGATGTACTATGATTTATTGAACCAGTTCTCTACTGATTCTTATGTTTTTTGCAATCTTTTCCCATGATGAACATTTCACAATGACAGTGTTGTTCCTAGTCATTCACACGCATGCAAATCCTTCTGCAGGATCTAGAGGGGAATTGCTGACTCAGAGGTTTGGTTACTCTGTACTGATTATAGAGAGAGGGCAGAAAAGTGAGGCCTAGGAGTTTACTAGTGACCATGTGTTGTAGTGGACAAGTCACCTGTCCCTGTGAGTGCTCTGCCCAAAGGCTTTAAGGCATTTGATATCACTGTTTTTGTTTCTGTACCAGGCCGGAGACACTATGTTCAATCGTGCTAAGCTGCTCAACGTTGGCTTTCGAGAAGCCTTGAAGGACTATGACTATACCTGCTTTGTGTTTAGCGACGTGGACCTCATTCCAATGGATGACCATAATGCCTACAGGTGTTTTTCACAGCCACGACACATTTCCGTTGCAATGGATAAATTTGGATTCAGGTAAGAGATATTCAGTCAGAGTCTCTGTTAGACATGTTTCTCATGTGTTGACTAGGAAATGCAGTCCTTGCAGCTCAGGAGTGTCTCTTTAAGCTCTGAAGCAGAATGCTTTCTCCTCTGAGAAATGGATGCTCTGTATTAGTTGAGATGGAAAGAAGAGACCAGAAATGCCAGTAGTCTCTGCACATCCAGACAAGAACAGGTTTTCTCTTTTTTTTTGAGATGGGGTCTGGCTCTATCACCGAGACTAGAGTGCAGTGGCATGATTTTGGCTCACTGCAACCTCTGCCTCCTGGATTCAAGCCATCCTCCCACCTAACCTCCTGAATAGCTGGGACTACAGTCACATGCCACCATGCCCAGCTAATTTTTATATATTTTGTAGAGATGGGGTTTTGCTATGTTGCCCAATCTGGTTTTGAACTTCTGCGCTCAAGCAATCTATCCGCCTCGACCTCCCGAAGTGCTGAATTACAGGTGTGTGCCACCATGCCTGGCCTAAGAACAGTTTTTAGCATTTGGGATGGCTCTCATCTTTAGGCTCCAAACAGATACTGTATTTTCTTGCTTTTCTCTTTCTCTTGCCCCACAAGTTTTGGAAAGCAAACTGGATTAGTTTTTCCCCACTGAATTATCTAGCTTGTATACCTCAGTAGATGTTCCTTGCCTGTTTTGTTTTTGAGACAGGGTATTACTCTGTCACCCAGGCTGGAATGAAGTGACACAGTCATGGCTCACTGCAGCCTTGACTGCCTGGGCTCAAGCCATCCCACAGCCTCAGCCTCCTGAGTAGCTGGGACTACAGGCATGAACCAGCATATCCAGCTAATTTTTTATTTTTAGTAGAGATGAGGTCTGGCTATGTTGCACAGGCTGGTCTTGAACTCCTGGGCTCAAGTGATCTCTCACCTCAGCCTCCCAAAGCGTTGGGATTATGGGTGTGAACCACTGCTCCTGCCCTTGGCCCTTGAAGAAGGAGCGTGATTCTGTTTTCCATCAGGGCACAAACTTCTACTTAAATGCACAGCCCAAATTTTTCCACCAAAATGCCCCTAGTGAAGAGGCTAGCCCAGATACCCGACTAGGGTATTATCCAAAGCATATTGTTAGTGGTGGAAAATGGCCTTATAGTCCATTGTTTTGTCTTAGAAATAAGTATATAGGCCGGGCGTGGTGGCTCACACCTGTAATCCCAGCAGTTTGGGAGGCTGAGGCGGGTGGATTGCTTGAGGTTAGGAGTTCGAAACCAGCCTGTCCAACATGGCGAAACCCTGTCTCTACTAAAAATACAAAATTAGCTGGGCATGGTGGTGCATGCCTGTAATCCCAGCTACTCAGGAGGCTGAGGCAGGAGAATCGCTTGAACCTGGGAGGTGGAGGTTGTAGTGAGCCAAGATTGTGCCACTGCACTGCAGCCTGGGTAACAAGAGCAAAACTCCATCTCAAAAAAAAAAAAAAGTATATAAATAAATTTGCATATTGTTTCCTAATTTGTCCATGTTTATCTTAACATAAAAGTGTTTTAAATTATTTGTCAGTGGTTGAGCCTGGTGGCTCATGCCTGTAATCCTAGCACTTTGTGAGGCCAAGGCAGGCAGATCACCTGAGGTTGGGAGTTCGAGACCAGCCTGGCTAGCATGGAGAAACCCTGTCTCTACTAAAAATACAGAAATTAGCTGGACATAGTGGCAGGCACCTCGAATCCCGGCTACTTGGGAAGCTGGCACAGGAGAATCTCTTGAACCCGGGAGGCAGAGGTTGCAGTGAGCCAAGATCGCACCATTGTACTCCAGCCTGGGTGGCAGAATGAGACTCTGTGTATAAATAAATAAATAAATAAATAAATAAATAAATAAAATTACCTATCAATTAAGTAATATAACCTTTTTCTTCCTTGCTTTAAGTAAATTTGAGTATCCAGCAGCTGTGCTGCAAGTACCCTATGTTTTGAGTGCCCCTGGTTTAGGCTGACTGATACAGTGTGGTTGGCCCATGTATACAGCAGGCCCTTTATTTAAATACAACTTATTTTCTTTTTTTTGAGATAGAGTCTTACTTGTCACCCAGGCTGGAGTGCAGTAGTGTGATCATGCTCACTATGGCCTCAAACTCCCTGGCTCAAGCAATCCTCTCACCTTAGCTTTCCTAGTAGCTGAGACCACAGGCGTGGGCCAGTACCTCTGGCTGATTAAAAACAAAAAAATTTTTCAGAAATGTCTCACTATGTTGCCCAGGCTGGTCTTGAACTCCTGGAGCCTCAAGCTATCCTCCTGCCTCGACCTCCCAAAGTGCTGGGATTAGAGGCATGAGCTACTGTGACTGCCAAGATGCAGCAGCTTTCTGTCACTCATTTGATTCTCATCATTTCTTCCTGTCCTCCCTTGCTGGGGGTATGAGGGCTGTGATGGGAATATAGGAATGTATGAAGTCCTCCTCCCAGATCAAAGATCCTAACTTGTTGTCTTAGAGGGAGGAAAATTTGAATGTAAGGTTACATTTAAACTCTTCAGAAATTATTCTATGCCCTTCCATCCTGCTTCCACCTTTCCTCCCTCTCTATGTGCGTATCTTCTTCTCTTGAAACACACAGGGTTATACCCTGACCCCTCTTGATTCCTCCCTTGAAGCATGGTTGTGAACCAGAAAGGGGCCCATGATGCTCTAATTCTTTGCTGCAGCACCACGTTTGTTTCACAAGGAGCCAGGCAGGTTTGGGCTCAGGGCACATAGGTAAGAGAAAGCAGCAGACACAGCAAAACCAAATCATATCAGCTTGGTATGTACTTCTCCTTGAAACAGCTAAGAATCTATTTCTGTAAAAGCACTGATTATCAAAAAACTTTATTGGCCTAGCCACCTCTGATTCAAACCCTCTCATTAATAGTACGAACAATAGTGTGAGGCATGCCAAAGGTGGATGACTCGGCACCTAAGTTATGACACCTAATTATGAATAGGTTCATTAAAGCAGATCCCCCAGGGACCTTTGCCTGAGGATCCTTGCAGTCAGAATTCCTGAATATATTTGAAAATAATAATTGCATCTTTATTTTCATATGTTCTTACATTGTCTGGCTGACTTTCCCCTCAAAGTCTGAGTTAGAGTTTTCCTTAATTTATGTGATGGGTGTGGTCTTTTTGGATTCCAGAAAGAGCCTGGGTGTGGTTTGGAGCTGCACTGAGAATCGACAGCCTTTAGAGAACCCACAGGAAGGCTTTGGGGCACATCCTGATTCTTGATTTGTCTCATCAGTGCTGACTTTGTATCCCTTAGGTGTTCACAACTCATAACCCCTGAAATATTAAAATACAAAAAGTTTTGGAAGGATGAGAGCCTAGATGCTCTACTACTTGAAAATATGTTAAAACATAAGTTCATCATTATACATTTTGCTAAATCGGGATAAAGTCCGAAGTTTCAAATAATTTTTATTTTAGCAAATTTCCAGAAACACTGCTGTCAAGGTTGGTGTTCTAGTCAGTATGCCTTTGGAAGCATGAAAGCTAGATTGGTCAATAGGAGGAGGATGGAAAGGGGGTTGTGACTGAGTGGGTACAGGGAGGCTCTAAAATAATCTCAGATTCCAGGAGCTCCTGGATAAGGACTTCATGGGCAGGAGCAGAGCACAGGGGAAGCAGATTCCTGAGCCACTCAGGAAGAACTGGGCTTAGCCTTGCTCTTGTCACTGACTGGCTTTCTACATAACCACAGAAACAGCTGTGTGTTGTGGGAAGAAGATCGTACTTTTTGATATGTGTGTCTAATCTAAGGTCATCTGAAACCTAATACAAAAACAAACAAAACCCTTGTAACTGCTCCTTCCCACCCCACCTACCATCAAAAAAGCTCTATAGAGGCTAGGTACATGGATCACCTGAGGTCAGGAGTTCGAGACCAGCCTGATCAATATGGTGAAACTCCATCTCTACCAAAAATACAAAAACTAGCCAGTGATGGCATGCACCTGTAGTCCCAGCTACTTGGGAGGTTGAGGAAGGATAATTGCTTGAACCCAGGAGGTAGAGGTTGCAGTGAGCCAAGATTGCACTATTGCACTCCAGCCTGGGCTATAGAGTGAGACACTCTATTTCTCAAAAAAAAAAAAAAAAAAGGCTGGGCACAGTAGCTCATGCCTGTAATCCCAACACTTTGGGAGGCCAAGGTGGGTGGATCATGAGGTCAAGAGATCAAGACCATCTTGGCCAACATGGTAAAACCTTGTCTCTACTAAAAATATGAAAATTAGCTGGGTTTGGTGTTGCGCACTTGTAGTCCCAGCTATTCGGGAGGCTGAATTAGGAGAATTGCTTGAACCTGGGAGGTGGAGGTTGTGGCAAGCTGAGATTGCAGCATTGCACTCTAGCCTGACAACAGAGCAAGAAAAAAGAATAACTTTAAAAGTGTTCATGTTCTCAGCAAACTTTCTTTTGGGGATGTCAGTACTTAACTAACCACTGCTCCTTCTGTGTGTATGTTTTTCCCCCAGCCTACCTTATGTTCAGTATTTTGGAGGTGTCTCTGCTCTAAGTAAACAACAGTTTCTCACCATCAATGGATTTCCTAATAATTACTGGGGCTGGGGAGGAGAAGATGATGACATTTTTAACAGGTAATGGTTATAACTTAGATACCTTTCTCCTCTGTCAACCTTCACTTCCAATTTTTGAGTCAATGCTTGGTTGTTGTGCAAGGACTGACCCTCAGATGGGATGCAGTCCTCACTCAGCCCAAATTCTTTGGTGTGGCTTCCTACAGGTCCTGTAGGTACTGAACGGGGTCTGTAGGAAAATGAGTTTCTGAGATTTTTGGATCAGCCTGGAAAAATGTCAAATGGGAACCAAGTGACAGGGCAAGTTCACTTTGACTTGCCACATGCCATTTTGTACTCAAGGAGTGAACAAATGTCCTTTGTAAAGATCCCTCATCTCATTGTGGTCCCCTTTCACTGTGAAACAAGATTCCTTGAGCAGAATTCTGACTTTTTTCACAGAAGCTTTGTGTTATATTTTTATTTTGGGGTATTTTTCCAATATAAAAAAGAGGATACTGTGGTATAATAAACCTTTGAGGACCCACTCATCCCCAGCAACTATTATGCCATGGTCAATTCTGTCCCATCCACATCCTGGGCTCTTTTTAAGCTGGTCCTTTATGATGTGGGTTGTCATTTACAGTGGTAAAAACATCTATTAGTAGCATTTGAAAGAACATTCTGCTCAGTCCTCTGGCTGTAGAGGCTTCAACCCCACAGGCCACCAGTGAACACCTTCTCCCTTCAGGGGCCAGTGTGAACTCGTTACTGAGTTTAATATCAGACTACACCCTGGTGCAGCCCTTCTGAATTGGAGTACCAGTAAATAGAAGGTGTCTGTCAGAGCAACACCCAAATCATTCAAGTTACCATTGTGTGCAAACTTAACAGAGACCCACGTCTTTAATATAAGCCTTGAAGAAAACTTGGTGGAGTTTAGAGTATGTGGATGGAGTATCAAGTGTGTGCATGTTGAGCATCAGCTGTATACAGAGCACTGTGTCAGGCAGGCCCCGGACACTGAAAACCTGGACATAGGGTCCAGACAGAAGCAAGCCTGCTTCCGCAGAGGCACTCCTGGCCAGACACTGGACCGATATGACAGTGTGTAGGACTGACAGGATAGCACAGGTCTGAATGGTCAGAACATCTCGGGAGGGAGGGAGCATCCACAGGTATCTAGTCCCATGCTAAGGCGGTGGCACTAGAAGGATGGGTGGTTTGTGGAGCAACTTGCTTGAATGATAAAGGACCTAACACTTATTATAAACCTACTTATTGTGTATTAGACAAGGCCCGAAATGTTTAAGTGGTCTGGGATCAGCCGGTTCTGCCCCTTAAATAACTTTGGTGTTCCTGCTCTCCAGGCTTTCATTTTGGTCCTCATTCCTTTCCTTAGACCAACACAGAATCCTCCACCCTGTTCTGGCTGCCTCTATTCTTGTTCTCAGCCCTCCATTCGTTGTTTTTTTTTCTGCCTTTTCCCACTCGTTCTGAAGTCCTCCATTTTTAATTTTTATTTATTTATTTATATTTTGAGACAGAGTCTCGCTCTGTCACCCAGACTGGAATGCAATGGCATGATATCGGCTCACTACAACCTCCGCCTCCCAGGTTCAAGTGATTCTCCTGCCTCAGCCTCCTGAGAAGCTGGGATTACAGGTGCATGCCACCATGCCCAGCTAATTTTTGTATTTTTAGTAGAGACGGGGTTTCACCATGTTGGTCAGGCTGGTCTCAAACTCCTGACCTTGTGATCTGCTTGCCTCGGCCTCCCAAAGTGCTGGGATTACAGGCATGAGTCACCATGCCCGGCCCCTCCATTCTTACACTACTTCCAGAGAGACTTCCCCATGGCTAAAAACATTTTGGAAATATTATATATTAGACCCCTTTCAGATACTGGCAACTGTTTGCGGGATGCTCTGAGAAGGCTTCTGTGATTTAGCCTTGCTCTTTTCAGCCCATCACCTGCCCACGTCCTACCCCAGACCCTTGTCACCAGTCCCCAGGAGCTTATGTTGCTTCCTGAGGGCACTAGGCTTGCTCTCACTTCCATGCTTTTACCTATGCCATCCTGGCTGCCCAAAATGCTCTGGCAGACACCTGTTCATCTTCAACTGGGCTCTGCCCAGGCTTATTCGAGCAGAGTTAACAAACTGTGCTTCTTCCTCTGTGTCTACAACCTCATTTCACCTCCATCTGGCCCTGAAGGCCCTATGTTTGAAGCATCCACACCGTATGTTCTGTGGAGCAGACACCCCCAGTGTCTGGCACATGATAGTCAATACCACAAACTGCAGAGCCAGTTGTAAAAGGATATGGAGTAGGAATGTGAGTTTTAACCAGTGTCATGCTGGGCTGGGTTCTGGCATGATGCTGGGTTGCGGGCTGAGAACAGCAAGCATGATGGTGGATGGAGCAACAGTCTTGCCACTGGGGCTGTCAGGCCAAGTGTATGGCAGCTCTGTGATAATGACTTTCCCCTTACTCTTTGCAGGTTAGTTTTTAAAGGGATGTCCATATCTCGTCCAAATGCTGTGGTCGGGAGGTGTCGCATGATCCGCCACTCAAGAGACAAGAAAAATGAACCCAATCCTCAGAGGTGCATTCTTTGTTTATTTATACTCTCTCCTCCTTTAGGATGGGGTAGACTGCAGGTCCAAGGCTTTGCAGAGGGCTCTGGGCATAGAGGGAAATGGAGGTGGTCAGATTACAGTGGAGAGGGAAGAGGAAGTACATTTAATGGTTTCTTCTTAAGATTTTTGTTTTGACACAATCTCCTTGCTGTGTTTTCCTTGTAGGTTTGACCGAATTGCACACACAAAGGAGACAATGCTCTCTGATGGTTTGAACTCACTCACTTACCAGGTGTTGGATGTACAGAGATACCCATTGTATACCCAAATCACAGTGGACATTGGGACACCAAGCTAGCGTTTTGGTACGCTAATAAGAGACCTGAAAATAGCCAGGGACCTCTGCTGTGTGTCTCTGCCAATCTGCTGGGCTGGTCCCTCTCATTTTTACCAGTCTGAGTGACAGGTCCCCTTCGCTCATCATTCAGATGCCTTTCCAGATGACCAGGACGAGTGGGACATTTTGCCCCCAACTTGGCTCAGCATGTGACTTCTTAGCTCTGGAAGGTGCTTGTGCCTCTGGGGTTTCTTGAGTGCAGTGTCACCCAGAATCAGAACTGTATGCATCCCAAAATTTGGTGGCCGTGGAGCACATTCCTGGTGATAGAACTGCTAAATTGTTGGGAAATAGGTCAGACTTTTTCTTTAAGTTATGGTGTTCTTATTACTTCATGAAAAATTGGAGAATGCTGCTAAAATTGGATTGGTATGATCTTTTTTAGTAGTTGCAGTTTAACAGAAAAACACAAAATTTCAACCATTTTCTTATGTTGTGTCCTCCCTCCACCCCCTTCTTTCCATGGCATGCAACTATTATAATCACTGTGCATATGTCTTTTCTTAGCAAGAGGATTTTAAAAATTGAGCCTTGGACCTTTTGTCCTGCTAATGTGTGGATGCCAAGGCAAAAGCATCAGAGCAAAAGCCTTGGGTGTTCTCACATTCAGTTGCCTGTCTCCAGATTGTCTGATTTCTGAATGTAAAGTTTTTTAAATAGCAGTTTGTAGTATTTTAAAGAAAGAACAGATCGAGTTCTAATTATGATCTAGCTTGATTTTGTGTTGATCCAAATTTGCATAGCTGTTTAATGTTAAGTCATGACAATTTATTTTTCTTGACATGCTATGTAAACTTGAATTTCCTATGTATTTTTATTGCGGTGTTTTAAATATGGGGAGGGGATTGAGCATTTTTTAGGGGAAAAAAATGTATGCTGTAGTGGCCACAAGTAGGCCTATGATTAGCTGGCAGGCCAGGTTTTCTCAAGAGCAAAATCACCTTCTGACCCCTTGGCAGGCAAGGCCTCCTGGTCAGCATTATCCTGCCAGACCTTGGGACAGACACCTGGGGGACAGAAGCCTCTGCCCCTACTGTGCAGAACTCCCCACTTCCCCACCCCTCCCCAGGTGGGCAGGGCAGAGGGAGCCTCAACCTCCTTAGACTGACCCCTCAGGGCCCTAGGCTGGGGACTTGTAAATAACAGCAGTCAGGTTGTTTACCAGCCCTTTGCACCTGCCCAGGCGGAAGGAGCCTCTGTGCTGGTGGGGGCTACCTCCCTCAGAGTCTCTGCTAGCCACATTCCCTGGCCTACCCTATGTTACCAGTTCTCTTTCTTCTTCTTTCCTCTTTTCCCCTGCCTTTCTTCTTCCTTCCTTCCTTCCTTCCTTCCTCCCTTCCTTCCTTCCTCCCTCCCTCCCTCCCTCCTTCCCTCCCTTTTTGTTCCTTTGCGTCTTTTGTTCCTTTGCCTCTTGCCTGTCCCCTAAAACTTGACTATGGCACTCAGGGTCAAACAGACTATCCATTCCCCAGCGTGAATGTGCCTTTTAATTAGTGATCTGATCTAGAAAGAAGTTCAGCTGAACCCACATCCCAGTGCCCTCCCACGAACTCTGGTGCCTAACCTCCTATTCCACCTCAGGTTTTCAGCAGGTGCTCCCACCCCAGTTAAGGCTCCCACCCACAGGAGTGCGTCACAAACCCACCTCTGCTGGGAGCTGTTGAGCTGCCTGGGATGAGATGGCGCAAGGCACTTCCTACCACTGAGCGCCTCTGCCAGGTCCAGCCTGGGCTCAGGTCCCAAGACTCAGCTGCCTAATCCCAGGGTTGAGCCTTGTGCTCCTGGCAGACCCCAAACCACTGCCCTCCTGGGTACCAGCCTTTAGTGTGGAGGCTGAGCTGGTACCCAGTCCAATCTTATCTGTGCCTTTACTGCTTTAAGCATCTCAGATACTAACTTGGTTCTTTTTCCAGAAGCTTTTGTATTGGTTAAAAATTATTTTCCGTTGCGGAGCAGCTGGACTATGCAAAAAGTATTCCTCTGTCAGTTCCCCGCTCTATACCAAGGATATTATTAAAACTAGAAATGATTGCATTGAGAGGGAGTTTTGGGAAATAGAAACAATGAAAGCCTCTCTTTCTGTCAGCAGATCCTGACTTTTCCAAAGTGCCTTAAAAGAAAGGAAATAAATGCCCTGAGTGGTAACTTCTCTGTTCTCTGTTACTTAATTGTGAAAACCAAACTACTTTTTCTTCTTTTTTGGCGCGGGGGGCGGGGAGAGGGGAGGCGGGGAGGGTACCTTTTCATTCATGTCAAGTATGTGATTCATTCTCAGAACCAAGGGAAATACTGCTCCCCCCACTTGCTGAACTACTCCTCTCATGGAAGGCACAGCGAAGACACAGTTAGGCCTGGACATTTGCCTGGTCCATGAGATGCCGTGGGTCCTGTTTCCTTACTGGGGATTCCAGGGCTGGGGGTTCAGGAAGCATTTCCTTCTCCTGGGAGTTATGACCCTGAAGTTGTCATGTGCCATGCCCTTCTCTGTTTCTGTGTATCCTATTGCTGGTGACCCTGTGTGAACTGGCCTTTGGGAAAGATTGGAGAGGGCAGAGGTAGCACAGGAGGGTAAAGGAGATGCTGTGCTGGCCCTCAGCCCAGACAGGGTCTCTGCCAACTGCCAGGCTGGGGGCAGGGGGCTCTGCATAGCCAGGATGACGGCTTTCATGTCCCAGAAACCTATTGTGCTGTGTATTTTAATTTCCTGTGTATGCAGATGTGTGTATTTACCATTGTATGGGGGCTGTGTCTGACCTTGGTTTTCAAAACAGACAGAACTGTGTTTTTGCCTTTAAAATTCAATAATATAACATGAATAAATGACCCTATCTTTGTAACTGCAGGTGGTTTCTGTCTTCCTTGTCATGGTTGTGGGACAGGGTGGGGTCAGGGTCATTTTCCTGCTCTGTGACACACACAAATACACATGCCTCCCTGGAATCAGACATTTCACCATCTGAATCTCATTCTCTTGTCTGTAAAATGGGAATAATAACACATAGGGACTTTTTTGAGGCTTAAAAGAGATGATATATCTAAAACAATGACTGATGCCTCACAAGTACCACGACATAGTAGCTAGTGCCATTTCAAAGTAGAATTTTTTTCCCCTAGCAGTTCTCTGGCCACATTCTGCTGTTTTCAACAGATACCAAGATCATTCAGATGTAGATTTCAGGGACATTTGCACCGGGTGCTCACAGTGTAATTTGAATGGAATTATCCAAAATGAGGTTTCTTGTCAGTCTCAGGAAATGTAACCAGAAGCTCTAAAGGGTCTTAGTTGTTACCCAGGTGCTTGAGAAAGTAAATGTCCCAGACACCTCCCCTTTGGTGACCCTGGGTCGGGCTGGTTGGATTGAATCAGCACTCATGAAGAAGGGGGCCACAGGAAACTAGCATGCAGGAGGGCCACCCCTGCCCTCCAGGGCAAGGGAGATGCAGGCCCTGCCAGGACAAAGCTGCGAAGGGGGGGCATCAGCTGGGGAACAGGAGCAGGAAGGGCAGCCTCTTCTAGCCACTCCAGGGCCATCTGGCTGTCTCCATCTATCCATGTCACTGCTGGAGGGATCCCTGGTAACCTCAGTGCTGTGCAAAGGTGGCCTGGGTTTCAGATCCAGCCTTCACACATGATGACTCTGGTCCTTTCGACAAAACGCTGCCTTAAAGGATCTGACAAAATTAAAAAACAGAAAACTTTTTTCCTTCTTGCTCACACATCACCACTCACAACACTTCACTTCTGACCCCAGATATGTGGGGATTTGTCCCCACCAACAAGCAGTTTTCCAGTGGACACTAGCTGGGTGTCCTATAGTTTGACTCAATCTGACACTGTCTGCCTGGAGATAGCATCAGATACCACAGATTGAGGGCTCAGTCTTGCAAGACTGCCTCCCCTGCAGATGCCAGTCATAAGTAGTTGGTTGTGGTCTGTACTTAAATTTCTTTGGCCGGGGGATACAGGGCCTTGTTGTGTCTCCCAGGCTGGCCTCAAACTCCTGGGCTTGAGCAATCCTCCCGCCACAGCTTCCCAAGTAGAAGTAACTGGACTGCAGACTTATACCACTCATCCAGCTATAGTTGTGACCTATAGTTCTGACCAACCAACTATAAATTGGAGTTCCCATGACCCCCTTCTTGGGTTTGATTAATTTGCTAGGACAGCTTACAGAACTCCATGTTAAGTGTAACACTTAACATTTACTGGTCTTATTATAAGTGATACTAGGATACAGATGAAGAACTGGATGGAGAGATGCATAGGGCAAGGCATGGGGGAGGGGAGAGAAGCTTCCATGCCCTCTCAGGGGCTCCACCCTCCAGACACCTCCACATGTTCAGCTATCTGGAAACTCATCTGGACTCTGTCCTTTTGGTTTTTATGGAAGCTTCATCACATAGGCCTGATGGATTACATCATCGGTCATTGCCAGTCAGCTCAACTTCAGCCCCTCTCCCCGTCCTGGAGGATGGGAGTGGGGCTGAAAGTGCCAAGCTGCTCATCATGGTGACCAGTCCTCATCCAGGAGCTCACCAAGAGTCATTTCATTAGAACAAAAGACATTCCTGTCACCCAGGAAATTCCAAGGGAATATATATATTTGGCCTCTGCCTATTCCAGGGCCTATTTCACTGGTGTGCTCCACTTCACCAGATACATATCCACAGACACACACAGATAGGTCCACAGAGATACACACACCTACCCAGACATACACATCCACCCAGAAGCACACCTCCACACATGCCTACACACTAACATAGATAACACACCTGACGTGCTTATGAGAGGTCAAAATTCAAATCCTGCCACTACCTCTAACTAATTCTATGACCTTGAGCAAATAACTTGGCCTCTCTGTGCCTCTGTTTCTTTTTTTAATAAAACAGAACCTATTTCACAGGGCTGTTAGGAAGATTAAGTGAGTTAATACCATACTTATGAAGCATTTAGAACATGCCTGGCTCATAAGAAGAATGAAAAGTGTGAATGCTTGTTTCATTGTTTGGGCAAATGCACATGGGCACATGTTGACATATACATACAGAATGCCATGTACATGTTGCACAAATACACATTTATGCACTCTCAGGTGCTGGGGATCTTCCCTTTTCCTCTTCTAGGACACATGCCTTGAACTTTGCTATGTGGCAGCTGGGTGGGTAAACCACAGGGTGAGTGACTGCTCCTATTCTGGAGACACCCAGACACCTCACCCATCCCTCCATGCCGCACCTGGGTGAAGGTGTTTAGGATGGCAGCCTTGGAGAGGGAAAGAGGTTGACCCCCATCCCCATGGGCTTCAAGGGACCAGGGAGGGAGGAAGGAAACCAAGGACAGGCTCCTGAGCTTGGCCATTTCCTTGAGAAATGCTGTTTCTAGTCTCACACAGGACCCGGAAGAACCAAATCTAAGCAAAGCAGAGCTCCGTAGTCATGAGAGTAATCACCAGATCCCCCACATACCACCTCTTTTCCACGGGAGAATGTGGCCCGGGTACCAAATCACCTGCCTACAGCTGTTCTTTGGAGGCAGGGCCAATCGGCCCAACGAGGCACCTGCCCATGGGGGTGAATGAGTGGAGCTTCCCCAGGCTGGACGTGTTTGCTGCTCTTGGCAGAGGCCCGCTGTGTGGAAGTGTTGGGGAAGAGGGGAGGGGATAAGGATGACTACATTGACCACATTCTGGGGGTTACCAGTTTCTGCCACATATCCAGACTCCTCCCCTCTTGTTTCTTCCAGGTGGTGGGATTTCTGACATTCCTAGGGGCTGATTTCTTCTTAAAACTGAAACTTCTTACCATGTCAGAAAGGAAATGAGGTTTGTCTGGCTGAGCCAGTCATGGCAGGCAAGCCTCATTTCCGTCTTTGGCAATGTTCCCCAGGCAGGGAACCTGGCTACTGCCTTTGTCTGGGCTTCATGATCTGTACCCAGGGTGTGAGGCAGAGGAACCCTGGGTGCAGGGGACGGTTGTTATGAGTGTTAGGGTCAATAGACTAGAAACTAGAGGAATGTGGCACTCCAAGGATATTTGCACTGCAGCAAGATGTGTGCCAGGGTCACCAAGAGTAGAGACAGGGCACAGTGAGGTCACGGTGTATTTGGAGAGAGTGCCTGGTTACCAGGCAGGGAGCCCGGAAAGACAAGCCAGGAGGAAGCCATACAATGACCATTCTGTCTGGCTGTCTCTGACTCCCCACTTGCTGTGTGACTCTAGGCAAATTGGTTCCCCCCTCTGGGTCTGTTTGCTCTTTGTTTTATGACTTGCTCTCAGAATCCACCCTTGGTCTCCCCATAGTTCTGTTCTTCCTCCAGTTGGAAGTGCCCTGGTCTTGGCTTTTCCTCTTGCCCTGAGACTAACCTCTGTCTTCTTGAGGGAAGTCCATTTATTTATTTCTAGGACATCATTTGTAAGAACAGCAGGTTCACCCCTCCCTGCTCTCCTCCCTCTTTTCCTCCTTCCCTCCCAGGGCTTCCTGGAGCATCCCGGAGTAAGCTGTTAAAGTTCTACCTGGTGAGGGAGAGCTGGCATAGCATTGGAGACATCTCCCTCTTCTGCCCGATGCCCTCCACGCTCCATTGCTGTCCCTCAGAAGCGCTTCTTTGTCTCCATCCTTCCTCTCACCTGCTCTTCCTTAAGTTTCCAAAACTCAGGCTTCTTGATCATCCCCTACCAAGCTCAGCAGGCTCAAGAGTACCCAAGAACCTGAGGGAGAAGCGCAGGGATGTGGATGGGGCGGCTGAGTGTCTGCTCAGCTCCCGGGAGTAAGGGATAGGGTTAAGAGGAGTGTTGGAGTCACCTCCCTACCCAGGCTTCTTTCAGCTGGGCCATCTGTCCTTTGACAAAGAGATCTAGGATTTCCTGACTGTAAAAAGGCTCCCTAGTGGAAATGCTAATAAAAACCACAAAGAGATACACCCATTTGGATGGTTATTATTTTAAAAACCACAAACACACCAAAATAAGTGTTGGCAAAGATATGCAGAAATTGGAATGTTAGCCATTGTTGATTCAGGGTAAAAGGAAAAAAAAAAGAAATTGAAATACTTGTGCATTGCTGGTAGGAATGTAAACTGGTGCAAACACTATGGAAAATGGTGTGGCAATTTCTCCAAAAATTAAACCTACAATTACCATAGAATCCAACAAGTCCATTTTTAGTTATGTACCCAAAAGAAATGAAAACAGGAACCTGAGCAGATACTAGTTCCTATCCCTAATATTCACAGTAGCCAGAAATAAACAACCCACGTATTCAATGATAGATTAATGGATAAACAAAAGGCGGTATATAGAGACAATGGAATATTGTTCAGCCTTAAAAGAGAAGGAAATTCTGACATATACTACAACTCAGATGAACCTTGAAGATATGCTAACTGAAATAAATCAGTCACAAAAGGACAAATATCCTATGATTGCACTTAGACGTAAGTTTTCAAAAAACTTAAATTTCCACAGAGGCAGAAGGGAGGGAGAATGGGAGTTATTGTTTAATGAGTACAGAGTTTTGGTTGGGGAAGATGAAGAAGTTCCGGAAATGGATGGTGGTAGTGCGACAATATGAATGAACTTTACACTGGCACTGTGCCCCCAGTGGCCGGCTTTTCAGTTGCTACCTGTTTCCATTGAAAAATGGATAAAGTGAAAAGCCAGGTGCAGCGGCTCATGCCTGTAATCCCAGCACTTTGGGGGCTGAGGCGGACAGATCACCTGAGATCGGGAGTTCAAGATCAGCCTGACCAACATGGAGAAACCCTGTTTCTACTAAAAATATAAAATTACAGGCTCATGCCTGTAATCCCAGCTACTCAGGAGGCTGAAGCAGGAA